TACATTCTTGCTAAAGGAGAGGAAAGGTTATATAGTTACCTTTTTTTTTTTTTTTTGGTACTAGGAATTGAACTCAGGACCTCGTACTTGCCGGGCAGGCCCTGTGCCATTGAGCTATATCCCTGGCACAGTAGTTACTTTTCTAAAGAGTGTCATAAATAAACATTCAAGGATTTTACAACTCAGGTTCTTTATTTATAGGCACTTAGTGTTAACAACCTTCTTCCAAAAGGCCCCGTGGAAGGGAAAATTTCTTGCATTTGAGTAATGAACATTCAGTCAGTGAGCAGCGGTGATGCTTACTAAAAAGGCAAGTGCTGAGAAGTCTTTCTTTGGGTCACGCCGTGGTAGATGAAGTGCAAACCGAGCTCCTATTAGCTGATTGAAGTTAATAGGGGAGCATGCACGTCACATCAGAGAGGCTAATCTGTAGCGATGAGAACTTTTCGTGAGAAATTACTTTATTTGCAGCTTTAACCCACCAATCTGTCTTTGGAGGAACTCTTTTTAGGGAATACAAAAGCAAGGCGGTCTGTGATTACCACGCTTGGGGATTTATGACTCAGACTGATGCTCACAGTGGCTGCCATTTTTTCTTATTTATTTATTTATTTGGTACAGGGTCTCTCTATAGGGCTCAGACTCCTAGTGATCCTCCTGTCTCAGCCTCCCTAGCACTGGGATTACAGGCATGTACCATCACACCCAGGTTTCATCAGCCAGTATGGCATGCTGTAGTGGGGATTGAACCTGTGTCCTTGTGTTTGCCAAGCAAGTCCTTAGACTCCCGAGCTATCTCCCCAGCCCTGTGGCTGCCATTTCTGCAGTGCTTGTTGTGTCTGTTAAACCCTCAAAGCAGCATGGTATTGATTAGTTTATTTATCCTTCTTTGGGCCTCCTTGCCCATGCCTATACCGATATGTATATGTATATCTATACCTATACCTACCTCCATCTAATCTAAGCTCTCTCTCTCTCTCTCTCTCTCTCTCTCTCTCTCTCTCTCGGCTGGCCCAACATAAATATCTCAGAGAATTAAAGTGCCTGCAAGCAGGCGCAGGGGCCAGGGCTTCCATCCCCGGGTCTGCCATACGGGCCCTGCTCTGGGAGTGCACTGAGAAGGTGATTGAGACTGGGGGGA